ATTTATTATGATAGAGATAGAGAGAGAGAGAGGCAGACACACAGGCAGAAGGAGAAGCAGGCTCCATGTTGGGAGCCCAACGTGGGACTCGATCCTGGGACTCTAGGACCAGGCCCTGGGCCAAAGGCAGGCGCTAAACCGCTGAGCCACCCAGGGATCCCAGGAATATTTCTTAAAGCTAATGATTTAACGTTTGATTACATGCTAATAGTTATGCCTTGGGTTGGCAGGATTGGGGAATCAGCCAGCATTGCTTCTGCTTCAGCCATGCTGCCTGTTTCTATGCTTTCCACACCGATTCTCCATCTCCCACCCTTTCCCACTGAGTTTGGGCTTGACTCAGAAACTGTCTCCACCTCAGGCTCTAGAAAGGCACCCTCAATTAGTGGGAGCATGTCTGGTGAACCACCTTACCGTCCTAGGATTCTATCCAGCATAATTTTAATTTTTTGCTTTTATTGATGCTCATTTTGGAAATAGGCCCACTAGTGAAGAACTCTTACCTTATTATGAATATTTAGAAATTAGGTTATCAGGGATCCCTGGGTGGCGCAGCGGTTTGGCGCCTGCCTTTGGCCCAGGGCGCGATCCTGGAGACCCGGGATCGAGTCCCACGTCGGGCTCCCGGTGCACGGAGCCTGCTTCTCCCTCTGCCTGTGTCTCTGCCTCTCTCTCTCTGTGTGTGTGTGACTATCATAAAAAATAATAAATAAAAAAAATTTAAAAAAAATAAAGGTTTTATTAAAAAAAAGAAATTAGGTTATCATAGCAATAATAGTTTGGGTTCCAAACTACTATGAACATTTCAACAACTGATCGATTTAATAATAATTTTATTTTTATTTTATTAAAGGTCTCTTTCGTACATTAACCAAAGCTTTTTCACTCCAGATTTGTATATGGTTCCCTTGCCCTTTTAAAAAGGAAAATGGCCTCTGTGTTTTCTTTCTGTCCCTGGGCTTCCCAGTTGATTTAGTGGCATCATTGGTTCACAATTTTCTAGAGCTCCATAGCCATCTTTAAGTTGATATAAATGTTCTTGGCCTTAACAATGAACAGTTACATATGCTGCAAAGGACTACATTAGGAGAGAAACTATAGAGGAAGTCCCCAGAAGAATGATTCATGGCAGGATTTCAGGAGGAGCTAGAGGTCCAGAGGTTGTCCACACAAGGAAATGGCCCTTCCCTAACCCAGGGTAGGGTCAGGGCAGGCGGTCATCTCCCACTAAGTTGTAACTCTTGAGCTGCAACTTGCTAGATTTTAGCAGTGGGGTGGGAAAAAGTTTCACCCCTCCACACCACAAAAATATGAGAGACTTGGGGTCTAGACCCACCTCTGCCCCTCACCCTTCTCACTTTCTACCTTGGTGACCTGATGAGCATCCCATCTGGCTGCCTGCCTGTACTAAGTTTTCTTGCACTCTGGAACTGGGGGTGTGGATGGAATAGTGGTGAAGGGGGTTAGTGAGGAAGAGCAAAGGTTGTAGGGTGGCAGGTGGGAGGGGGTTCTGCATGCAGTGCTTAGCCTTGGCCTGACTCCACCTCCCAGAGGGTTAGTGGCTAGCACGCAGGGTTGTTAGGTCATAGTTTCATAGTTCTGATCATTGCCTGGCAGGATATGATAGAAGGGCAGTTTGGGGGTGTCAGTGAAACGGATGACCATGTACCTATCTTGACATCCTAGCACTCTGGTGGTAGGTGTGTTCAGAAGGCTGCTGCAAAGAGGGAAAGAGAACTATATAGGGGAATTGGAGATAAAGATGTGAAATAATCATGGTGTGATGCAAGAGACAACAATATGGCTTAACTGGCTTATTTGGTCCTTATAACCTCATGAAGAACAATGTCCATAACCCAATAAAGGTCATAGTCATTAGAGTACTGATGTCTGTATATATATTTGTCACCTCTCTTTTAAAAATTCAAAGCTAAGGACACAAATGCCTGTGCTATAACACAGAATGAGCTGATGCTACGAGAGAGGTACACAGTGGCTGGAGAGAAGTGTGTTACAAGCAGCTTTGGATCTTGGGGGGGGGGGTCCCAGCACCGCCAAGAGGCATTAACCTCTTAGTTTCCTCACTAGTCAAGTAGGATTTAATAACCTCTGCACAGCAGAATTCTTGTTAGGATTACAAACAATATATGTCCAGCACCTACCATAGCCACTGGCGCCGGCTATGAATAACAGCCACCGCTTTTAGGAGTGTTTTAGAACAAGCCGTGAGTAACACTTTTGAGTCCCCCGAAATACACCTTCCCTGGATGGGCGCATCCAGAGGAACGGGATCAAGGAATCCCATGGGGGAGGTCTAATCAAAGAGGCTTCAAAGAGCTTCAGTCAACTTCTAAGAACCCACCGGTAGGGCTTGGGGAGGGGAGAACCTTGGCTTTCTATTTACCTCCCAGCCGCGGTAATGAGAGCTGCTGCCAGAAACCGAGGTCTACACTCGCGCCAGCGTGCTAAGTAAGCACTCGACACGCACTTTCCCATTTTGTCCTCGCAGTGGTCCTCCCAAGCGTGCAGCCGCCCCATGTTCCAGGTAAGGGAATGGAGAACAGCGGTGCAGCAGCTTGCCGGGGCCAACCCAGTGGTGCAGCTGGGATTTGGGTTTTAAGTCCAACTCCGCCGTCCTAACTCTCAGCCACTTCCCTAAAGTCAGCTTCCAGCTACACTGAGCAAAAAATAAAAAAAAAAAATCCTGCAAGAGAGGAGGCCGCCTGGCTCCTCCACCGCCGCCTCCTCCTGTGGCTGCCCCCGCCCGTGCCCCGCATCCCACGGGGTCTCCTTGCAGCTCACTGGTCCCCGCAGCCGGGGCCGCGTCCCCCACCTGCCCCAGATCGCCCCGCTCCCCCTGGAGGGAACCTGCCCCCAGGCCCCCGCTGGGACGGGCATTGGCAGGTGTGCGGGGTTCCTGCGCCCGGCCATCCCCGAGCCCCCGTCTTGGTCCCCGGGGGCGCGCTCCACACCCCGAGGCCCGCTTCCCCGGGCCTCCCTCTAGGGGATGCGGGGGGGGGACCCGGGGGGGCCCGGGGGGTGCGCGCGCTGGAGCCGCGGGAGGGACACGCGCCGGGTCAGAAAGGGGGTGACCGGGCTGCCCTGGGGAGGGGGCGACGTCTCAGCCTTCGCTCCTTGCGCCCCGGATTTTCCAGCCCGGCCGGCCAGCGCCCCGCAGAGCCCGGCGCGGGTCGCTCCCTGCCCTTAGGGCCGAGGGGCGGGGCGGGGCGGGGCGGGCCGGGGGCGAGGCCGTCCTCCCTGTGCCCGTTTGGCTAGGTGGCCGCGGCGGAGCGCGGCGGGCAGGGCCACCTGCACCTGCTACGAAGCGGCGGCCCGGGCCCGCGCGTGCGACCGCACCTCCCGCCGCGAGCGCCTCGGTCACGCGGGGCCCGGGCCTCGGATTCCGCGCGGCCGGCGGGCCAGGCCCTGCGCCCCGGCTGCTGGGGCGGCGCCCGGACACCCGCACCCCGCCCCGCCCCGCCCGGCAGGGTGAGGATGGGCCGCCCGCAGGGGAGAGGCGGGGAGGGCCGGGCCGGGCGGCCGCGGCGGGATTCGCCTGTCCCCGCGGGCGCACAGGGGAGGGGGGGAGGGAGGGGGAGGGAGGGGCGCCGCGTGCCCCGCTCCGGCCCCCGGGGAGCGAGCCGGGCGATCCCGGCCTCTGCCCTCCCCTCGCCTCCCCCGCGCTCGCCCAGCCGGGGAGGAGGAAACGCGAGCCGCGCGCAGACACCTCCTCCGCCTCCTCCGCCTCCTCCTCCTCCTCCTCCTCCTCCTCCTCCTCGGCCGCCGCCGCCGCCGCCGCCGCCGAGCCTGTTGCTGCCGCCGCCGCCGCCGCCGCCGCCGCCGCCGCGGGACCCGCCGCGTCCTCAGCCCGGTGAACGCGAGGCGGGAGCGGGGCGCAGGCGACCCCTCCCGGCCCCCCGCCGCGGGACAGCGCCCCGCCCGGACCATGGGCGCCCCGCCCGCCCCGGCCCGCCCCGCGCCGCGCGCGAGCACCTGCGCGCCCCGACCGGGCCCCGGGCTCTGAGCGCGCCGCGGGCCAGGTGGGTGCCTCCCGGGGCTGGCGCGCCCCCCGCGGGGCCCCGGCCGCCCCGCCCCCGCCCCCACCCCCGCCCCCAGCACGCCCCTCCCGGCCCCGCCAGGCTGCAGTCCCGCGGCCCCGGGCGTAGCTGCTGTGCGCGCCGCGCCGGGGCTTCCGGGGGGCCGGCGGGGGGGGGGCCGGGGTGGGGTGCGTTGCCCCCCTGCTTGGACGAAAGTGAAAGCTTCAAGTTCACCGCCGCCCGGGAGCTCCTCCTGCGGCGCGGGGCACCCTCCTCCTGCCCCCCCCCCCGCTCCGCGGCATCTGCCCCGCCAGACATCCCTGGGGCTGCGGGGTGCGCAGGGCGGGCGCCCTGGGCGCGGGTGGGCAGAGGGAGCCCCTCGCCATCCTTCCCAAGTTCACCGTACTTCGCGGGAGTAACTTCGGCAGCTCCACCCGCGCGCACATTTCTTTCTATGGGCACAGCCTGTGCCAGCCATCGTGAAACCCTGCTTCATTGTTTCTCGCAGCCTCCGTCCCGACCCTTCTGTGATCAGGAGACCCCTCAAACTTGGTGGCGCGCGGTGGTGGTGGTGTTCAAGAGACGGTTTCCTCTGACATCCCCCTAGAGGTGGCTTTACCTGCTATTTTGTTTAGAATAGGCTGTTCTCAGTAAGTTGCTTAAAAAGGAAAAGAAATTGAAAGTGATGGCTGTTCCTCCGCTTCTCCGAGTACCTTCCTGGCGTTCAGTGGGCGAGGGGTAGATCTTCTCGTTCTTCTGGGATGATTGGATGGTTTCGTGTATTGATAGAATCAGACGTTGAAAGAGCGTTTTTAAATGACCTGGTTTACATGGGTCACACCCAAGACACTCCGCTATCTCAACGAGCCCCAACTTGAGGACTTTTCGCACTGTGCTTAAGCAGGACTGCAGAGGCCTTGATAGAAACCCCTTCTTTTGGAAAGCAGGAATTCATTCTCTGCCTACATTTGATGGGATTGGTAAGAGTTGGAGCATAGCCACCTTCAAGTTTTGTTGTTTTTTGGGGGGGTGGGGGTGGGGGGCCTGCTCTGTGTGGGAGGGGCTGGGGTGGAAGACTGAATGCAGAGTTGTTGCCGAGGCCGGGGAATCCACCTTGCTAAATGACTCCCCTGTATTTCTGAACACTTCATGTTCTGTTAGTCTGGGTCAGGGATCTCTGAAGCCAGCCTTAGTGAGGTGGCTTCTCTTGCTCGGGGACGAGGAGTTCCTCAGGATCAGCTCCTGCCTGAGAATCCTGAAGCCTGTCTAAAGGAATTAGCACATTGCATGAAAAAAAAGTTTGCATAAAGAAGGATTGACTGCTTTTTGCAAACAGGTGTTTTAGAACTGTTTAAAATGGAATGTTTATCACAGTCTTGAATCTCCCTGTTTCTTTTTTTTTTTTATCAAGTTATAGGGAAATAAGACCATAAAAAGGGGTTTCTCCTTAGATTTATCTCTAGGTAACAACTGATGTAATAAGAGCTACGGGACGGTAGACATGGCTCTGAATTACAGGGTGCCCTGTGAAATGTTTAGGGGATATTTCCTGAAGTGAACAGAAGAAGAGGATCCTGAGACTATTAATTGAGTGCGAGGAGATGGAAAAGGGACTACGTGTGGCTCAAAGTAGGAAATAAAAGTATTTTATTAATTTTATTTATTAAAGGGTGATAACTCAAAGTAGGAAATAAAAGTATTTTATTAATTTATTTATTAAAGGGTGATAACTAAAATAAAGGTCTTTATGTTGATTTGTCCAGCCATTTGTAAACCAGTAAAATAGGGGGAAAACTCATCATGGTATAAATTGCTAACATCAAATTAGAGTTTTGCAAATGGGGCTTCCTGCCACTGTCTTTCCCACTGAGAGGTCTGGGGATTTCCCTTTTCACTGCCATAGCATTCTCGTTGGGTGCTGTCCTACCAGTATTGGGATGACATTAATTGTCCTAGGTGGTACCGGAGGGTCTGCGGAGGAAGTGGGTGACTCGGAGGAAATGCAACTTGCCTCTTCTTCCTCATTACCCAGCTCTTGACGATCTTTGCCCTGCATTTGCGGAGAAAGCAGCCTCCACCAGAGAGGCTGCATCACAATCAGGTGGACTGCTATGTGGAGCCAGGTGTGGGTGGGCGGCTCCTTTCTGCCAGGCCTTCTGGAACCTTCTAGGGCGTAGGACTGGGTGAGCAGCAGGGAGTGCTGCACCAGGCGGCCTGGCGTTTACCTGTTCCCCATCCACCCAGCATGTCTGATCATTATGGTGCCAGAAGTAGGGATGCCTGCTTGAGAGGACCCTGTCTTTGAATATACTTTTAATTTTATCTTGTCAAAAAGGCAACTCCCTCAGGCCCCTTTTCTGCCCATCACAGCATTTCTCTGAAGTCCCCCAGCCTCTGCTCTTTACATCCCCCAGATGACCTAACTCTGCTTCTGTGTTGGTGTAGTTGGCTTTACCCCTTTCCCAGTCTCCTGGGCTGTGCTTCTCAAGTATAATGGCCACAGAGCCCCCAGTATGTGACATGTTTTCCAGCCCTCTTCTTTTCCTGGTCATTAAAACTTGGAGGATCAGAGTCTGTGTGGGAAAGTGCCCGTGATTCCACTCAGCAGACAGGCAGCCCTGGGTTCGAAGCCCCCTGGTGATGATGGCAGAGGCTGTAGGTTTTCAGTGCAGAACTGATACCTTACAAATTGCCTTAACTGACTTTTATCTTCATTTCTTCCTTCCTAGCCCCACGTTCCAAGAAAAAGATTTTTAAACCAGATTCTTCACAAAGGACATGAGGGTTTCCATTCTTGCAATTTTTGACATTTTCAAGCTGAGATTTCCATTTGCTGAGTTCTTAGATTGAAGGGCACTGTGTCCCTTTTCAGGTTTTCGAATGTTTAGAAAAGGATTCGTCATATTTGGGCCATATGAATAATCTTGACACTTGGGTTTCAGTAAAGCTGTGCAGGATGTAGGAAATATGTTTTAGCGCCAACAAAGAGGCATTTAATTATGAGTGTGCCTGTATCCTTTGTGACAAGCAGTAGTGTTTTCCTCTTAAAAAGAGAGCGTACATATTTAACGACACATTAATTCTGATTAGTAAATCTAAGTTTCCAAAGTAGGTAAGTAGTTGTGAGTTTGTTGTCAAACTTAATGAATTTATACAAGTAAAGTTCTTAGAATAGTGCCTGACACATAGTGAGCACTCAGTAAATATTGCTTATTGCTATTATTATATTTATATCTTTTACACTTCTAAGGTATAATTTGGACATCATATTTAGATTAATGAGACCAAGCAAAATTCAGATAGAAAAACAAGCCAGCTAATTCACGAAAAAGATATTTTAGAGTTATTCTCTTCTAGAGATATTTATATCACAAAGAATAGAAATTTGGGCATAAGGCAAATCCTGTCTACATCATTAGCTAGGAGACCCTTATGAAAATGGGGATGATAAAACATACATCTCCAAGTTGTAAGAATTCAGATCATATATGTAATGTCCAAGAAGAGGTACAGTTTATTGGTCAATAAATATTCCTCTAGCAAAGCAGTTAAGAGCAGGGGGAAAGTCTAGATGGGAAGGACCCGGGTTCAAAACCTGGTTCTGCCATCTGCTGCTGGTATGACCTTGGGCAAGTGACCTTACTTCTCTGTGCCAGCCCCTTCTTTCTCATCTCTTATCTGAAGATTGGTGCTCATAATGGTAAAAATCCACCAGAGTCCTTATTTAGATATGATAATAATAGTCTTTATTGTCCAGGGATGTTGTGAGAGCTCAATTAGTTAACAGTCACATAGTACTATTAGGTTATGTGTTAAAATTATTATTATTATTACCTTCAGGAGGATAACAAAGCAGCCGTGCAAGAGGGAGGGATATTCATGCTCCCTGAGGGCGAGCAAGGGCCCCCACCCCTCTCTCCTGTGCCACAAAGTAGAAGAGAATACAGGAAGTGGCCATGGCATCCTAGAGGAGGAGGCTTAAGTTGGCTCTGATTCATGTAGGAAGGAAGTCATTCAAAACATCATTACTTTATGTGTCAACTTAAGGCCGGAGCATCCTTGATGATGAAGAGGTTAGATCCGTGGGCTCCAGGAGCTCCGCGTGATGGCTCTGGGAGAAGCTGCTCTGATGGGGTGGGGTTCTGGGACAAATAGTGCAGCCACGCCCCATGTGATCCCACTGGGTGAGATTAGAGGATTCGGGTGGCAGAAAAATTCATGCCCACTCTATCCGGGCCAAAGAACAGGAAAACTAAACCACTGATCTGTAAAGGGAAGTGAATAGTTATCCAGGGGACTCCCTGCCCATCCTGGGGGTCCCTAACAACTGGCCAGTCTTGGCTGGTCCCTAACCTGGCTTGGAGCTAGAAGCTTCAACACGGCTCCCTTTAGCCCCTTTTATTCCCTCCTGTCCTCCCACGAACACTCCGAGAGGGTGACAGCTGAGTCTGTAGTGGCTTTGGTATTGCTGGCTTCTGGAAAGTCCCCATCCTAGTCCCCTTGGTTTGCTGGGAGGGCACAGAGGGGGGGCTGGGAAGAGAGGGGGTTCCCAGCGACGGCTTGCTAACTCCCACCATCTCTTCTCTCACTTCCTGATCAATAAACCCCATTCTCTCTTCCTGTCCCTCCCCCACATTTGTATTCTTGACAGGAAGACGAGAGCAGCTTTCCATCCCCACACAGTGTCGGGGACATTTGGTATTAGACATTATGAAAATTAGAGTTACCCGATAGAAGACAACTGGAGGATGATCTTGTTCCATTCTCTTATGAGAATAAACTTGAGATTTGGAGAAGTTAAGTGACTCGTCTTCTCAGCTTCACACTGGAAAGTGTTTTCATCAGGAAACGTAGGTCCTCTGCAGCACTTGGATGGCGGTCAGTGACCGGATTGTCCTAATTCTGTCACCCAACTTGGACAGGCCTCTTAGCTTCTCCACAGCCACGTTTCCTCATTTCAAATACAAGGGAAATTACTAAAGAGCTTAAAAGGACATTTCCAGCTTTCAGAATTTATAATTCTACGTGCATGCCTAAAGGGATGTTTGACACAGAAGGACTCACCAACAAGGTGAGGGCAACTGTTCCAATAACAGCATATGTGATAAAAGTGGTTGGGGTGCCTACCATGTTTAGGGTCAGTGGTAGGCAGGGGTTGTGTAGCGTGCAGACGGTCTCTGTGAGGACAGCTGGTGCACAGGTGAAGCTACCAGCAAGAACACAGCTGGAAGTTCACTGGAATAACAGACTCAGTATTTCTTACTGAGGGTAGGAGGCACACGTGCCCTCTTTGAATGGGTGGTTCTACCTCGGATGGTCAAGGTTGCATGCAAATCATGTGGACTAAGACAGCTTACAAAATAATCTAATGCTGTATTAGTATTATTTGAGTAGGTCATCTGTTTCACAGAACTTTTTTTTTTTTAAGATTTTATTTATTTATTCATGAGAGAGGCAGAGACACAGGCAGAGGGAGAAGCAGGCCCCATGCAAGGAGCCCGATGCGGGACTCGATCCCCGGTCTCCAGGATCAGGCACTGGGCCAAAGGCAGATGCTAAACCGCTGGGCCACAGGGGCTGCCCCTCACAGAACTTTTTATTGGAAAGTAGTACAGACAGGGGTGCCTGGGTGATTCAGTCGGTTGAGCATCTGCCTTCAGCTCGGGTCATGATCCCAGAGTTTCCGGATGAGTCCCACATCTGGCTCCCTGCTGGGTGAGGAGTCTGCTTCTCCCTCTACCCCTCCCCCACTCATGATCACTCTCTTTTTCTCTTTGTCTCTCAAATAAACAAATAAAACCTTAAAAGTAGTACAGACGTTTACCTAGTCTAAGTTACCATGAATCTTACAACAGCAGAATCTGAATTGCTGATAAATAATTAGGGCTATCTTTGGGGCAGAACTTAATTTTATTTTTAAATTTTTATTTACGGGGTACCTGGGGGGCTCAGTGGTTGAGTGCCTGCCTTCAGCTCAGGGCGTGATCCTGGAGTCCTGGGATCGAGTCCCGCTTTGGGTTCCCCATAGGAGGCTCCTTCTCCCTCTGCCTGCGTCTCTGGCTCTCTCTCTGTGTCTCTCATGAATAAATAAATACAATCTTTTAAAAAATTTTTTTGTAAACTTAAGTAATCCCTATACCCACTGTGGGGCTCGAACTCATGAGATCAAGGGTCACATGTCTTCTGACCAAGCCAGCCAGACATATTTGTTCATTTACGAGTGGTGTTAAGGACCAATCGGCTTTTTACAGAGAAACAAAGAATGTGCCATAGCTTGTTCAAATGAAAATGAGAGCTCTGCACATTTAAATAGTTTTGTCAATGTCTAATTTGGTAACTGGTTATTTATTAAATGTTTGAAATTCTAAATTGTATAAATTTATTTTGCACTGTGGATATATTGCCTTCCAAGAAAACGGAAAATAATTCTGTATATTGTTGCCACCATATTAATAGTTGCCTCATCTACACTAATTGGTAGATCTCAGGTCTCTCCTTTGTAATAATTCTAGTACTTCTTTAAACATGTCTTGGGATTAGCAGCTGTCAACAGTTAGAACTTGAAACAGATTCAGTTACAGGAGTGGAAGTTGAGCCAGACATTTAATGCCACTCTCACCAGGTGAGAGGGAGAAAAAAGAAGAGAGAGAGAGACCATTAATATGGGGTTATATGAACTTCAAGTCTGTTTTCATCATCAAGTTGTACTTTAAAGGAGACGAGATGGAGAATATGTTGCCATGAACTCTGTTGGAGCTCGAAAGTTTGGGTTTCCTTCTGAACTTTTGAACATTCAAAAGTAAAACCTAGCTCTGAACTGTGTTCAAATCCTATTATAAAAATTCAATCTGATATATGCATATATGTCATGTAGAGTTAAATGAGTAGACTTCAGTTCTATTTCAGAAAATGTTTAGAATTTTTTTTTTAGATTTTATTTATTTATGCATGACAGACACAGAGAGAGAGAGAGGCAGAGACACAGGCAGAGGGAGAAGCAGGCTCCATGCAGGGAGCCTGACGTGGGACTCGATCCCGGGTCTCCAGGATCACACCCCAGGCTGAAGGTGGAGCTAAACCACTGGGCCATGGGGGCTGCCCAATGTTTAGAATTTGAATATTGAATATATTCCGGGTTCATACACAGCCATCTTTTCTCTTATTTCCTCACATGGAAGGAAGCAAGGGAGCACCCTGGTCTCTTTATGAGGATGCTAATCCCATTCATAAGGACTTCAGTCTCATGACCTAATCATCTCCCACCTCCAAATATGATCACATTGAGGATTAGGACTTCAACATTCAGTCTGTATCAGTGACTCTTTGGCCTTTGGCTTGGCCAATAAAATAGTGATGCTCTTTACAGAGATAGAGTTTATGGGAAGGGAGAGAAGTTCTGGGAAGGGAGGTGGTGAGACTGAGTTAGTTTAAAAATAACAAAATTGAGGAGCACCTGGGTGGCTCAGTGGGTTAAGCATCTAACTCTTGATTTCAGCTCAGGTCATGATCTCAGGGTAGTGGTGGTGGGGATCAAGCCCTGCGTAGGGCTCTGGGCTCAGTGGGGAGCCCACTTCTCTCCCTGACCCCCTTCCCCTGCTTGCACGTGCATTCTCTCTCTCTCTCTCTCTCTCTGAGAAAGATAAATCTTTAAAAATGACTAAATTGAGGCTGAGGTGCCTCTAGGCTATCCAGATAGAAATATTGAATGGTCTGCCCTGATCTGGATCTCAGGAAGGAGGTTCAGTGGGAGACATAAAGGTGGGAATCATCAGGGTATGTGGGGTAGATGACATTTTTTTTTGCAGGACTCAAGAGGATGGGTAGAGAAACAGCAGCAAACTCTCCCGTGCCCACCTGTGACAAGCAACCCAAGCCCTCCAGGCCTCAGTTAGGTCACAACGATGGCAATACTAGTAGTCTGTAGCCGAGGCTAGGGTTGGAGATGAAGATGGAATGAGATGATACTTGCAATGTGCCTGGAGTGCAAAAGTAAGCTGCTCGCAGCAGCAAGAACATTAGAATGTGGTTGGGGACACCCCAGCCATTAGGTGAGACTGTCCAAAGAAAGCAAGTGGAATGAGGAGAGGGGATGCAGTTAGATTGAGGTGGGGGGTGGTGGGGGTGGGGAAAGCCATCAAAGAGCCTGGAAAGAAGTAACCAAAGAGATAAGAGGAGCAGCAGAAGGGTTTCAAGCAGGAAGGAGTGGTCACCATAAGGGTTTGAAGCCCGAAGGAGTAGTCACCGTTGAGAAATTCATCAGAGAGGACAAGGCACGGGCACCTGGGTGGCTCAGGGGTTGAGCATCTGCTTTTGGCTCAGGTCATGATCCTGGAACCTGGGATTGAGTCCCTCATCAGGCTCCCCACAGGGAGCCTGCTTCTCCCTCTGCCTGTGGCTCTGCCTCTCTCTCTGTGTCTCTCATGAATAAATAAATAACATCTTTAAAAAATTAAATAAAAAAATTAAAAAACAAAAACAGACACAGCAGTTAACGACTAAAACACCCCCTTTGGGTTTTACAGCCACAAGACGTAGATAGCCTCAATGGGAGCAATTTCAAGGCAGAGCCAGTGCATCTATCAGGTCACAGTCGAGACATCAGGCCGTGGAGCAGAAAAGCCAGGAAGAAAGCTGTGTGGGGAAGAAAGAGTTGTAGCTCGGGAGGTTTGAGGTTAAGGGAAAATATTTTTTTTTCCCCCAGATGGGAGAGACTTCATTCACTTGTTCACAATGCTATTGAGCTTCTGGTGTGAGTCAGACACTGCCAGGCACTGGGGCATGACAGTGAATCAGACGGATGCGGCCTAGAGGTGCCCAAGGAGTACACGAGGGAAGGGAGACCCGGCCAGCAGGTGGGACAGGACGGGGCTGCAGATCCTGGGGACAGGTGGGCTCTGCACAGGAGGGTTTTGTCACCAGTGGAGCAGGAAGGCGTTAGGATGCATCAGATGCGGTTGTTGAAGGTCACCCATAGAGGGGGGACGGCAGGTGAGAGAGTTTGGGTCCATGGGAGCAGCATCTTCTACGGATGAGGAGAGAGGCAAAGTGTGGGCGTGGCGGCTTGTAAAACGTGAATTAAATGAAGCAATATTTATGGCGATATCTGGAGCGTAACTGGCACCAATTACATGTTAATGGAATTTGAATTCACGTTCAGAACCTCTGGACTATGTCAGGGAGAGCCTTTAAAAACTTACGTAGTATCATAATTGAAAAGATCAGTTGTTGAAAACTGGTCTGGTCCAGTAGACTATGATAATGGATAGCCGATATTTTTTTCTCTCTGGATTGCTTTTGGGGAGGGTGGAATCACCACTACTGAATTCGATTATCTTAAAAAAAAAACTCCTTGAGGGCTACCTGGCTGGCTCAGTCCATAGAGAAGGCAATTCTTGATCTCAGGGTTATGAGTTGGAGCCCCTGGGTGTAGAGCTTACTTAAAAAAAAAAAAAAAATTCCTTGGGCAGCCCTGGTGGCTCAGCAGTTTAGTGCTGCCTTCGGCCCAGGGCCTGATCCTGGAGACCTGGGATCGAGTCCCATGTCGGGCTCCCTGCATGGAGCCTGCTTCTCCCTCTGCCTGTGTCTCTGCCTCTCTCTCTCTCTCTCTCTCTCTCTGTCTCTGTCTCTCTGTGTGTGTCTGTCATGAATGAATAAATAAAATCTTTAAAAAAAATTCCTTGAAATATATGTTAATAGAATGAGATTTAAAGGTATCGGAGCAGGACTATATTGCTTTCTGTCCTTGCCTTTGCCGGCTCTGTGAGGCTTACAGAGGTTTAACAGGAGTTTACTGGTGGGATCTCTGTAACGTGTAGTGTGTGTGGCACTTACGGCATCCTCGGGTTTTACATAAGCACATTTTCGAGAAGGCTCTTTCTAGGCCAAGCACCTTGTTTGAACTATTATCTGTTCCTTTCTGTGTTTGAGTTCCAGGCTTTTAAGTTCTTCTGAAATAATAACTCTTCAAAAGTAGCTATTGCTGTGATTTCATTAAATTCTAATGCCTGTGTTTTCTCCCCCAGGGTTCTCCCTCAGAAGCACACCAAATAGATTGCTCGTTCTAAAATAGAAAACAGTGGCAACGTTTTGCTGAATTTCCAGACGTTTCCCAGGATGGAACCGATAACATTCACGGCAAGGAAACATGCGTTCCCTAACGAGGTCTCGGTGGACTTCAGCCTGCAGCTGGTGGGCTCCCTGCCTGTGCATTCCCTGACCACGATGCCGATGCTGCCCTGGGTGGTGGCTGAGGTGCGAAGGCTCAGCGCACAGGCCTCCAGAAAGGAGCCTGGGACCAGGCAAGTCTGGCTTTGTGTGTCACCCTCTGGTCTGAGATGTGAACCTGAGCCAGGGAAAAGTCAACAGTGGGATCCACTGATCTGTTCCAGCATCTTCGAGTGTAAGCCCCAGCATGTTCACAAACTGATTCACAACAGTCACGATCCAAGTTACTTTGCTTGTCTGATTAAGGACAATGCAGCCAGTCAGCAGAGTATCTGCTACGTGTTCAAAGCCGACGATCAAACAAAAGTAAGTGGAAGTGGGGATGAAAATGATTGAGGTGTAGCGGGATGGCTTTCATTGTGTGTGGGTCAGGACGCTGACTGGACGTATACTAGAATGAATGAATGAATGAGATAGTGCTGTGGTCATACTGGTCATACATAGGTTATTTCATTGGGTTTTTGGTTATGGGGATAGTTTTTTTTTATCGTTTGGAAGAACATTTGATAACAGATATTGGGAATTCTGAGTTCAACAATTCAACAGAGAAATCTGCCTCAACTTATAAATAAGAGCTGAATTGTTAGAGTTTGGGTCATTTAAGGCAGGTGTTTTATTTATTTGTTTGTTATTTTTTAAAGATTTTATTTATTTATTCATGAGAGACAGAGAGAGAGAGAGAGAGAGAGAGAGAGAGAGGCAGAGACACAGGCAGAGGGAGAAGCAGGCTCCATGCAGGGAGCCCGATGTGGGACTCGATCCCGGGACTCTAGCATCACTCCCTGGGCCGAAGGCAGGCGCTAAACCACTGAGGTACCCAGGGATCCCCCACTGAGCCACCCAGGGATCTCCTAAGGCGTGTGTTTTAAAGCAGTGCTTCTCAAACAGAAATGTGCACACGAATTACCTGGAGATCTTGTTAAAATACAAATTTAGGTCCAGGAGGTCTGGGATGGACCCTAAGACTGCACTCCTAATAAGCTGCTGGGTGATGCTGATGCTCCTCCTTTGCAGATTGCAATTCGAGTAGCAGAATCCTGGCTAGATCAGTGAGCTCCGTACCTTTGACCCTATTAAAAAATATATACCATTCAGGAGCTGTATATGAATACTATTAGCCAATTTCCCAAGGTATCATGGTCACTTAGGCAAAGACTGTTGATAAGAATAGTGGATACATGGGGCACCTGGGTGGCTCAGTCGGTTATGTGTCTGCCTTCTGCTCAGGTCATGATCCTGGGGTCCTGGGATTGAGCCCACTTAGCTTTCTCTGCTCAGCAGGGAGTCTGCTTCTCCCTCTCCCTCTGCCCCTCCCCCTGCTGGTGCATGCTCTCTCTCTCTCTCTCTTTCAAATAAATCAATTTTAAAAACCTTAAAAAAAAGAATAGTGGGTATGCATCCAAGTTTTGATGCTTTCAGGTTTTGTGTGTGCGGATGCCCACTTTATGTCAGATCTGATTAACTCATTGTTATAGCTCATGTGTGGCTGAGAAAAATATCATAGGAGAAATGGTAAAAGTATCATCAGCTCAATTATTTTCCTGTGTATTGGTGCTTGCTTTGTTGTTACCATGCTTTGCGGCTCTGTGCTGGACTCATTTAAAGTCACTTACCGTTTTGTGAGGCTCAGTTTCATTTTTTTAATTCATTTTTTTTTATTTTTTAAAAAGATTTCATTTATTTATTCATGAGAGACACACAAAGAGAGAGAGAGGCAGAGACACAACACAGGCAGAGGGAGAAGCAGGGGCTCCATGCAGGGAGCCCGGTGCGGGACTCGATCCCAGGACTCCAGGATCATGCCCTGGGCCGAAGGCAGGCGCTAAACTGCCGAGCCACCCAGGCATCCCCATTAGGCTCAGTTTAGATAAAATTGAAAATATAATCCCTGCGGCCACTTTCTCAGCTGGGCCCTTAGGAACTGCACTTTGGTATAGCCTGTGGACAGCGAACAGGCAAGGGCCCACTGCTGACTAGCCCGTGAGCTGAGGACACCCACGCCGGCCTGACATCCATCCACGCACGCGAGGAGGCCAGTGTCAATCATGTGGTAAATGACAGTAAACTCTTCTGTTTGTCGGTTTTGCACACCCCCCAGGGTGCAAGACCTTCACTTGGAAATTAATGTTCTTGGTGACTAAGTAGATTCTTAGAGAGTCACTTTTTAACAGAGGTGGTTCTGACTCCTTCGTTCAGTGAGTGCTGCTCCGAGTGCCATGCAGGATGTCAGTACAGGCTAGAAGGAGGGCAGAAGCAACAAGAGGTACGTGCTACATGGTCCGTGTCCGGGTTGTGACTGGAAGACAGAGAATGGAGCCGAACACAAGGAGGGTTTTCTTCAGTAAAGGCTAATTTTGAGCTTACAGCCACTGTTAGACCCACAGAATTGGATAGCTCCTCATTCATAAATCATTCAATGTTCCTGTCCACGAATCTCCAACAGACAGAACAGCATCCCAGTACAGGGGTTCTGAGGGACCAAATTCCAGACCAGTCTGCCACTTATAAACTGGGTGGCCTCAGGTGACACTGAGCCTGTTGTCTCCTCTGTAAAAAGGGGGTAATTACTGTGTCTGTCTCATATGTCGCCAGGGGGACCAAATGAGCTAGAACAGCACCTTAGTAAGCACTTAAGGCCTCAAAAAGTTTTCATTAAAGAAAGTTTTATTGCAGGGCACCTGGGTGGCTCAGTGGTTGAGCATCTGCCTTTGACTCAGGTTGTGATTCTGGGGTCCCGGGATCGAGTCCCACATCTCCCCATAGGGAGCCTGCTTCTCCCTCTGCCTGTGTCTCTGCCTCTCTCTCTCTCTCTCTCTCTCTCTCTCTCTCTCCATGTCTCTTATGAATAAATAAATAAAATCTTTTTAAAAAAAAGTTTTATTGGAAGCAGAGTACATGCTGATTTCACTTCAACTCTTAGGTAACAGGAAAAAGAAGTCCAAGAGGAGTGTCTTCAGCTCCCAAGATCCTGGTCATCCTTAAGCAACATTTTTATAAACTAGATACTTTAAAACCTACATAAATAAACTTAATGGTTCTTATTATTTGGGCAAATTCCAGAATGTAAATGAAAGGACTGAACAGCTTGTACTCCAGCCCAGCTCTATATAAGGACTGAATTTCCTTGGGGAGAGTCTTTGCATGGAAGAGTTGTCCAGCACTTTACACTTTTGACTCTTTCCCAAAAATTTTATGGCCTTCAGAGAACAGGCTTCTGGCCGGTCATTCAGATACCTGACAGGAAGAAGAGATTTATAACTAAATTCTGTAACTGGAGCTCCCAGTCTTGCCGAAAGTAGACAACCGGCCTTACTCTGTGTTCTGGAAAACCATGGTAGAAATATGAATTAGGTCTTGAGTTATTTTTGGCTTGCATACACAGATTTCCAAACACAAATTGTGGGTACTCAGAGTAATACATCACTGTCATCCTGCTCCTTTTATAAAAGAGTAATTTGTAGCGGAGGTGCCTCAATCAGTGATTCGGTTTTGTTGGAAACTGAATGGTAAACCAGATTGGCCCTGATTCTCTATCTGGCGTGATGGCTTTTATGTTCTTGGGACATCTCTGGCACTGTATCTCATAGGAGAGGATTATCTGCTGATGGAGCGTGTTCACCTATGTCATCCTTTCTCGTGGTTATTTGTAACATTTGCTCGGTGAAATCATTCTCTAGATTCAGGCCTCTCCTAAATAGATGAGGTCACTTTTGGTTGCACTTGCCAGAGGAGATATATGCATTTACTGCCAGGGTTATAAGCACAAAACTACTATTTGAGCGGAAACCCTTTGATAGCATATAAATTAACTTGCTGAAGAATGTCCAGGGAGAAGAGGCATAAAAAAGGAATAATTTTTAGAACACAAATGAGATTGTGTTTCTCATTGTATGTTCCATAGAATATGTTCAAGGTGTTCCACAGATAAAGATTTCCACAATCAAAATGCGTTAGGTCAGGGGCGCCAGGGTGCTTAGTGGGTTAAGTGTCTGCCTTTGGCTCAGGTCATGATCCCAGGGTCCTGGGATTGAGAGTCTGCTTCTCCCTCTACCCTTTCCTCCTGCTTGTGAGCATTCTCTCTCTCAAAAAAATAATAAAATAAAATAAAATAAAATAAATAAAATAAAATTTAAAAAATGCTTTAGGGTAGCATCTTGTCCAACTTTTTGATACAAGAACCCCTTTTCAGTCTTAAAAATTGAGTATCCCAAAGAGCATTAAGGTGGGTTATATGTATTAATAATTACTGTATTAGAAATTAAAACAGAAATTATGAAGGTACTAATTTCTTAATTTGTTAAAAAACAAAAGTGATAAGCCCCTTATGTGTTAGCATAAAGAATATTTTTGTGAAAAATAACCATGTTTTCCAAAAATACTCAATGATAAGAGTGACATAATTTTATTTTTTTTCTCCCCAGTCTTTTATTACCTGGATTAATAGATAACTACTGGATTCTCTGCTGTTTCTCTGTTCATTCTGTTGTGATATGTTGTTTTAGTTGAGTATAAGAAGGAAAACTTGTCCTCACACAGATATGTGGTAGGAAAATGGAGAAACATTTTATAGCCTTTTTTAGAAAATTGTGGATATTTTCTTCATTACTATACCAAAACTTGACAAGTGGTGGTTTCCTAAGGATTTGTTGCAGTATGAAATCTGAAACCATATCAAAGCACCTTTGCACTTTGTTATATTGAAATCCATTGGTCTGCCGAGCATTTTAAAGACTTTTAAGCACGTGTGATTGTGTAACATCACGCATTGATTATTTGGAAGATACTGGTTCACTGCGTTATATAGACCACACTCTGAGAAACACGGTTTTAGGGAAGCTATCTTTTCTATTTCACTCTTGAGTTGTACATTAGTCTATGACATCCCCAAATGTATTGGGCCATAGATTACATTTTTTCTCATGACATCCAAGAACACCCCTCAGAACACATGTGAACACAGTGGGATAAGTTCCGGGTTGAAGTGTCATTTTGAATATGGGTCCATGGCAGGAGATGAAGACATGCATTCTGGAAAGCAGGGGGTTGCATGAGTGACCCTGACGAGGCCTTTCCCTATCATGACACAAAGAGATCAGGAGTTTCGCTTAGACTCAGCTCTTGAAAAATAGCCCAGGGAAATTATCTCAAGATTCTTTCCTCTAGTTCTTCAGCTTTGTCTCTTCTACGAAAATCTGTACTCAGAATAACATCAGATTTGCCACTCACTTGAGTTTTACTTGAGAGTATTCATAAGACTATTTTTATTTTGGGACGCCTGGGGGGGGGGGTTCAGTGGTTGAGCATCT